AGGGAGACGGACAGTCGGTCTGTGAACGGCTGCTGCGGCTCGTAACCTTGGCTCGCGCTCCTCCAACACGATTCCTTTCGATAATTATTTTTAGTCGCGCGAGTTCGTTTATTGTCACCGCCCTGTCTCGACGACGTCCCGCCGCCGTCGCCTCTGCCGCCACCACTGCCGCCACTGCCGCCACTGCCGCCACTGCCACCACTGCCACCACCGCCACCACCACCGCCACCGACACCGACACCGACACCGCCACTACCACTACAACCGCCGCCGCTGCCGCTGCCGCTGCCGCTGCCGTCGCCGTTGCTTTTGCGTCGCTTTCAACGTCGAGGGAGTATGCTTGGATTGTGTCGATTGCAGCAAGGTGGTTCGGTTCTTAGCGGCGACCGCTCTTGTCTTCGTTGGGGGGAGCTCGCGTCTTTTTTGCTCTCCCCGCTGCTCGACGTGTGAAACTCGCTTCGCGGTTGCTCGATGCTCCATTGTGGCTGTGGTAGCACTTTTGGAGGTTGTGTTTGGATAACCATTGTTTTCGTTAGTCGTGCACGTACATACATACGCTGCTCGAAATACTCGTGGTAATTGCATTGGTAGTGCACACTTGGTTACGAACGTGGCGTTGCTCGACAAGTGAGTTTAATGAGATTTTGATTATTATTTCTGTTTGTCGTTATTAATCAACAGCTGATTGGAATTCTTATCTTTTGATGTTGCATTCAAATTGTAAGTGCCTAATGCAGCACGCAATTTCATTTCGTATCCGCTGTCCGATGCCTTTTACCTTTCGCTTATTTTCACTTTGATTAAAAGTACCTCCGTGCACATTAGGGGTTATTAAACTTTGATAGTTATTTTGCATTTATCAAATATCTATGCAAATTTATCTTTTGATTTATGCTCGTGTATACGCACACCACCTATCTACAGACACACAGACACACAAGCGCGCGCGCGCGCATGAATATATATATATATATATATATATATATATATTTATATTAATATATTTATATATAATATATATATATATATATATAGATGCATCACGCAGGGACAAGCTCACGCATACACGCACGCCCGCGTGCGCACACACGCATGCATATATATTCTTTTTTCATAGAAATCATAAAGCATTTTAACTTCCTATATAATGTGTAACGTTTAGTCAATTATTCTTGCTCATATTTCTAGTGTGTATCGTTCATTGAAAGAAAAATTGAAATGATTTGGTCTCAAAATGTGCCCCGAGTGCTCGAATATATCAATGTAAACCATGATTGCATTAATATTTTAGAAATATATTGTCATCTATTCGCTACACTTTATAACATGTATATTACTATATTTAAAAATATCAAATTTATTGCCAATAATTTTATTTTAATTCAACAAAAGTATATCCAATTTCATAAAATATTAAATTTCTTGAAGACAGTTGTAAAAAATGATCGATGAATCGCTTATTCTCATATTTACATTAATGTCTTATATGTACAATGAACAATTGGTTTCTGATAACTTGAATCAACAATTTAATGAATAAAATAAGTATAATATAGCATACGTGCACGTGTTCTAAATTATGTTTTGTTTCAAGTTATTTTCTTAAATATAGCTTTTATGTATCGTTTCACCGATTATGTGTTTATTACTGAGTATTTGAAAGCTTTTTGGCACGACGTACTATAGGGTAATCGAAATTAACATAGGCCGTACTGGGCTACAAACGCAAGATCTATTCTATTGCAACCATCATTTAGGATAAAGACTTTCTATTGCAATTGTAACAATAATGCTTATTATTATTAGAATAGAGTAATAACCTATAATAAACAAAGTATTAATATTTTTAATGCTGAATTTTTACATGGAATGTATATTACATATTAAAATTCTTTTATCATAAGATAGGAGTGAGAATTTATTGATCGTTATAAGAGACCACTGTACACAATAATATCCATAGGTGTCGTTAGATAAGATATATAAGAACAAACTCGATAATATCGAATGATTTAATTTATAGATGAAGCCAATCAATAAAATAATTTTAATGTAGCAGCTGTACTTAGTATATATTATTGAATCTTTATTTTTGCATAATTATGAGCCATATTTCTTACGCAATGAAGGAACAATGTAATAATATTGATTATAAAAATAGTTAACTCATGGAATTAAATATCTGAAATATAAAATTATCTTAACCAATTCTCGAAAGGCAAATGATTATAGTCCCACTCGCAAAAAATAGATGCAATTTCCTTGTACTTCATTGTATAACATTAAAATTCCTTAACACATGTATGCGTACATGTATATATGTATATATTGTTTTTTTTTTTTTTTTTTTTTTTGATCAAGAAACTTATATAATCAATTAATAATACACCATCTGTCTATAAGAGTAAAATAGTAGAGATAAATTATAAGGTTATATGATGCGACGTTGAAATAATAAGTAATAAATGATATGTTTTGCAGATGATTCAGAAAATAAAGCAAATGCTAAGTCAGGAGAAAATCACTGTCCAAAGAGGAAGGTATGGCTAGTTTGACAGTAACAGCATCGAGCAAGAATAGTTCTCGAAGTGCATCTCCCAGCAGAACCAATATTTTCAGCTCACATAGTCAGCAGCAACAGGTCATCGCAGATCATACACCTAAATCACGGAATGCCAGCACGGCGTAAGTTTGTTACTGCATAATTACTTTGATTATCCCGAGTTTGAGATGAGATGCGATGAGATGATTAAGTCTGGCAAGAGTTTTATATTGTGAAATGGCTGCTGGGTGAATATTGTTAGAAAAGTCCCTAGTTGGGCATGCTAGAGCATCAGGAGATCCGACTTTTAATGTAAAAGTTATAATCTAGTCAGAGGAACGTAGTGTTGTTTTATAATAGATAAGCTATTTTCTGATGATTAACAGATATTATATAAAGAATATTATAGGAAGGAAAATGCCTGTAGCATTGCATCATAATTACTAAGTGATAATGTTATCTATAGGCATTTCCAATAGCTATTTCAAGCTCTTGAATCGAAGAGTCTTTGATATACAAGAGTACATTATGATTTCAAATTTTCCAAATATTAATTCAACCGACCGATTTCAAATGGTTTATTTAAATAGACTATCTATGGACAATATGCTTGACATATAATGTTAATTATTCAAAGGAGGATGAGGTATTAAAACGAGGAATTATGCTAATGTTTGTTGTAATACTTTACTAGCGTCTAGTTTTAATCAATGAAATTGTTCCTCAGTAAGCTTCTGATACCAAAGGCAGCGACTAATTTACCATCTCTGTCTATGGGCATATTTATAAACTATAACAATCTATCAAATACAAAATTCCCCACCTTCTCATTTTATTAAAAATTATTCTTTAGATAAATGTTATTTTAAGTGAGTAAATAATAAGCTTATCACGAACTTTAAATCGGCAATAAATTTTACCACAAGTGTGCTATCTATACATAATCTAATAGTTCTAGCATTCGTGAAACTAAAATAATGCACGATTCCCACATGAAAATATGCGCGGTCCCTTTCTCTTAGGGTCCAAGCTTTCCTAGAGACTTTCCTCATAACGCGTACCTAGCATATTTCACGCGCAATATTCTCATGTAACCGAACTTATAATTTTAAGCTCGAGATGTACAGACTTCCCGAATGTAGGCCACAGAACGTTATAAGTATCTTAATTAAATTAGCATCCCGTGAAAGGAAAACATTTTCCAGTGACATTTTTGTTTTGTTTTCTTTTGTTTTGTTTTATTTTGTTTTATTTTGTTTTTTCTTCTTTTTGATAAAAATGACTATAAACAAATTTTTCAATTAGCATCAATTGCAACAGCTGTACGTACGCATTGAACTAGATTTAATCTATTTAATCAATTGCAGTAGCTTATGAAAAGTATTGAATTACGCGGACAATAATTACAATAAATTAACTCTCTTTAAATATGAAATATCATTGTATTATGAATCAATTACGAGCAATTGTAAAATGTACACACTGTATAACGTACAACTGGTTGATCGATGTATTAAGAGATAATGCAATATTGACCTCTTATCAGCCGACTAATTCTATTTGCCGTTCATTTTTAATAATCATTTTTAATTTCTATTTTCCTTTATAATAATAGGCATTCTAACTTAACATTCTATTGATGCGTGAAAGTAGAAACGTATTGCTTGCCTCTGTAATACAATGCTTAACATTTCAAGCGCATCTTTATCATCATACGTTTGAAAGAAAATCGATAGTTTATTTTTAAAAAATTGTTCCAATTTACAGTTGCGAGACCAAATGTATCTATGCGTATTATCATTCCAATAATATATATATATATATATATATATATATATATATATATATATACATGATATTTTATGCAAATGAAGGAAAAACAAAGAGAACAAAACAAACAAAATAGTAAAATAGATAAATAAATAAATCAAAATTCCTAACGTTTCTTTTTGATATTTTATTTTATGTGAATGAAATGAGATTTGTCGTAAGAACCATTTGTTATCGTTAATCAAATTGCGTTACCAAATGTAATATTACGCGTAATCTTACTTTAAACGTTTTATTGATAATAATTTGAGAAATTAATAATTAAACTAACAGCGCGTATTTGATTTTCCCTATGATTCGAGTAAAGTATTATTTTACTTACCTTAATACAAACTTAATCCCGTACTACGTATTATTTCAAAATAAGTAAAACATTTACATTAATAATTAGAAATCTCGTTTTCTTATTATGTATTATATACATTACTTTATTTTTTAACTTTCTGACATATAAAACTTAAATAGAACAGAGATCAATACAAACAAAAAGTCATAGAGTAAAAGTACAGTTTTCGAACTGTTACAATGGAAGAAATATTAAAACTAATATTAATATATTATAAATAATTTTTACCCATCAACGCGTTATAATCGTAAAAGTGCATGAATCGTGCATTATAATTTGTTAAATTAATGCTTCATCCATTATGTTACGCTTGCTTTTCGAATCAATAATCGATATCAAATATTCTTTTATTATACGTTTATAAGAAATATAATAAAATTTATTAAAAAAAAAAAAAATGTAATTACAATCGGCTCTATGATAACTTCCAATCAATGAATTTTAATGATTACTTACGAGGAATATATGTCTAACGACAATTCCAAGTATTTCATCTGTGCCAATGAACGTGCATTAATAAAGGAATTACATTGAATAAATATTATAATCTATAGAATATTCAATAGTTCAATAGTTATTTATGATGTATGTTTTTACAAAAGGATAAACAGTAATTTTTAAAATTAATCGAATATAAATTATTAGTACGGGAAGCAAAAGTATATTTCACTTCAACCAAATGTAGTGATTTTATTATTGACGTATTGATCATTTGGATAATAACGGCAACGACAAGAACAACAACACCACCACCATTGATAATAATAATAATAATAATAATAATAACAACATTAATTTAAAGACAAATGTTTAAATTATTTGTTTGAAACTTTGTAGAATGGGGGATATGCTGTAAGGCCAAAAGAAAAATCGAATTATCATTCGAATAGACGTATTTATTCAAATTGTTTTTTTTTCTTTTTTCTTTTTTTTACCGTTATTTTAATGCTATTTCTTAATTTCTTTGTATAGTAGGCGTATAAATCGATTGCACTTCATTACGCCAATATGAAAACTCTTTGTGCTTATTCATTGTGATTAATTCACGAAAATGAGATATCGTAGTTTCTAGTTGTAGCTATAAAAATATGAATTTCACGGGAACGGAAGCTCACCACCCCTTTTATGTAGCTAATTTACACTAATTTGCGCAAAGACTTATCTAGTGCTTTAAAATTTGTCAAAATTATGCTCGGAAAAGTATCTCGAGAAGTAAGGACATAAAAGCACGTTTCGACGTCACTTAGTAAATTAAAATTTTAGAAAGTCGAAGGGAATGTAATTACTGCGCAGGCCTTCAACGATAATTATCAAGAAATCTCAATTAGTAAAAAAACGAAAAAAACAAAAAAAAACAAAAAAAAAATAGTGCCACTTGGACCAAAAGAAGCGTCGGGGCAAGTCGACCGAATCAATGAAACGAACCGGCTCGTTATTAAATACCCCCTCCCGCTATCGTCTCCCCACTCCCGCCCACGAATCCCTTAACAACCCCAGCGAAATCATATTTACCATATCGCGAAGGTTTTAACAGTCGGCCGAGCGCAAAGCGCAGGTCGAGCTTAAAAGTCAAGAAAGTCTAAAATTAGCGGAGTGAGACAGTAGTAACAGGGGCACAATGGAGCGCGTTAATGTTCGCGCACGTGCGGTCACGCAATCGTCGACAGGGCCAATAATGCATCCTTCCCGTTGTGTTCTCGCAGTCAGCAGCAGCAACAGCAGCAGCAGCAGCAGCAGCAGCAGCAGCAGCAGCAGCAGCAACCGACGACGACGACGACGACGACGACGGGGACGGGGACGGGGACGGGGACGGGGACGGCCGAGGGTAGCACGTGTAGCGGCGGAAGCGGGGGCGCCATGAGGGCCGGGGCCCCGAGGCAGCGATCACCCGGTGCCGTGGCACGAGCCGGCGACGCTTTCGACGACTCGGTCAACCTCTCCTTCGGCCTCGACACCGAGGACCAGTCCCTCCTGCACCTGGCCAACCCAGACGACGACATCGTAAGTCCTTACTTGCCCTCTTTCTTCCACCCATTAGCCTTTTAGCTTTCAGAGCTCGTCACTACGCGGTCAATTGGCGTCTGAGTGGACGGACGAGGAAATCGTGTTTCTCCAGATTTCTCCGCTCGGCCTTTCATTACGTCCATATCTCGTTCACGCGTCGCTCAGTCCTTACTAGCCTGGCCTCGCATTATTTTCAAATATCTCTCCGATAAGACGTTAATAGATGGTTGTTGGGCCAGTCATTCGCAGATAATTTCATACTATTCTGTCAAATAGCGAGTACGCAGTGCTAGGAATGTTATTTGTAACTTCTAGGATCCCAAGTATAAACTTATTGTCATATTACGTCTTACGGAGCACCAACGACAAATTTCGTCTCGTTAATACTTAAAAACACTACTTAAAAATCCAATGTCGTTCCAATCTTGATAAGACTATCATGACGTAGGAGCACATATTTTTATTTAACCCCGCTAAGGTGTATATATTTTTTTTTTTTTTTTTTTTTTTTTTTTTTTTTTTGCTGTTATGTCCAGATTGGCTACACACACTATTGTGTCCCCGATGGAATGAAAAAGTTGCGTGACAAAGTTGAAAGTTCAAAGTCCCGAGTTGGATTAGTTTTTATTTATTTATTTTTTTTTTGTTTTTTTTTGTTTTAGACGCTTAAATTTCTATTTTCCACATTCTCGATATCATCAAGTATCGAATGAATAAATCGACAAGTCAGAGAATAATTCAGCGATTCGTTGCCAATGAATTACGTTGAAAGTAATTACGAAATTAATGAAACCTTGTCTTTTTCATAGATTTAAAAAGATTTTGTATATTCTAAATACAGTTGAGTTTAATACACGTAAGTTTTAATTATTTATTTTAATTATTTAATTATTTGCGCTTAAATAGCTATTGATAAATCATCATCGAGCCTTAACTCTTTTAAATTAATCATATATTTAGAATAGAAAATTTATAAGGCAATAACACCTTCGATAGTTTTAGCATTTATTTATTTTCTCATTTCCTAAATTATTGACGAATCTTTTATGCGAATTTCATACATTTCCTCATAAACGTGAAAGTTGTAGTTAAAAAACAATTAACTTCCCCCGCCCCCTCCACCAGCTCCTTCACCGTCTCATCCTATTAGCGCACTAGTTGAAAGCTTCTTGCATTGAATTCTTTCGGTTAACCTTCTAATGATGTTCATAATATTTGAGCCAAGAGATCCTTGTCTTTTCCCTTTTCTTTTTACTACTACTCACATTAAAGTATATTGCAAGCGTTCATTGTCTATTCCGTGAATCATCATCGTTATTAAATTCTACATTACTTTCTTATTTCATAAAGTAAATTATTAGTATTAAGTACAATCTGTATTATTCGAAAATTTTTATACATTAATTTAAATTAATTATTTTTCTAATTATTAATCTTTCATCATTATTTCCAGTGTTATTAATCAATGGCAAACGTTAATTTATCATTGATAATATTAATTTTATCAAAAATTACATCTACTTAACGTCCTGAAATCGGCAAAAATTGAACATTATGATTATTTTATTATTTTTTCAAACGAGTAAATTTTTAGGCAATTAATTACCGGCAAATGTTTGAACTTTTCTATATTTTATCAGTCATCGGTATACCATATTCGCACGCCTATGATCGGTTCAATTACACGATCGCGGATATATTGTAAAAACATTATTATTAATCCGGATTAGCTGCTGCTTCCACACACTTTTCATGCATTTTGTTCAATATTGCTTCAATATTGTACTTCTTTTTACATTTAAAAACTATAACCTCCAACAACGGACTATTTCTATTTTTACAATCTTTTTATAATTTTGTATTGAATCTATAGCCCTTTGAAACATTTCAGCTAGATATTTCATGCGAGATATGAATTTATTTCCTACATAATAAAATGACAATTTAATTATTTCAACTGCTTTATATTGCTAAATTACCAGCACTTTTTAAATATATTTGAAATTATAAAAAAAAAATAAATAAATATGTTCTCATATTGACTTATTATTTATTGTGAATTTCGGTATAAAATATATAAAAAATATAAATTCTTTATTTTAAGTTGTAGGGATACAGTTGTCTTGAGATATTCTAATAAATGAAGCGAATTATTTTATTCCCTTTGAAGCCCTCGAGTTAAATATCGACTTACCAAGTATGAAAATACGATTATTTTCATAACCGAAAATTCGGGACGCTATTAAAAATTCAATAATATTATTAAATATTGGCAATTAATCATAATTGCTTATATAACGATTCCTTAAAGTGATAGATAAAGAATTTTTATTACGAGTATTAATTTACGAGCCATTTCTTTTCATTCACCTTCATTTAAAATATCATTGTATTTACATTTAAGGCCACTTACATTGTATTTATTTAATGGTAGTAATGATTTACTTTCATCTGCATAAAAAAAAAAAAAAAAAAAAAAAAAACTTCTCTTTCCTACAATATAACAATTTCACATGATAAATAATATATTATTTTTGAAAAATTACACAATTTTTCAGCTGATTGCCAAAAAAGCTCGCACGTAGATGCGATGATGTGATTTTGACAAGAACAATGTTAATTGATATTTAAATTTAATTTACAAGCAATATCTGTTGATAGTGTGTTTATAGTCGTAGCTCACTCTATTCAATCTTAATATTAATTTTACTTTGTTCGTATTAAGATGGCTTTACGTCAAACCAACATTCATTACGAGGATATTTATTAATAATTTATTCGACAACGTTTATGTATTATTGGAAAATGGAAACAATTTCATTCTTGAAAATTTATTTTCCTTAATATACATATGAATGTATTTGACATTTCTGGACAGATATGCATAACAAATTTTACAACTTTTGTTATTGATTTACAATCTTTTAAAGTATTGTCTACGGATATTAATATAATCGTCATTGTAATGCATATAAGCGCGTGCGTGCGTCATTGCTTTAGCACAATAAATATCTTGAAAATCGCAAAATTTATTACGAATAATAGATAAATGTGCCGATAAAATAATGAACAATATCACTGTTCGTAAAATGATAAATAATAATGGTATGTAGTGTAATCGAAGGCATATAATAGAAATGGAGAAGTTAGTTTGGAAATTTTGATAAATGACATGGTAAATCGTAGGAAAATAATTATTATAAGAGCAATAAAGTAAATAATTATGAAAGTTTAAATTGTAAGAAAAAAAAGTTTTTTTTTTTTTTTTTTTTTTTTTTTGTTTATATTGAAACATTTCATAGTCATTTACAGAACTCGGATGAATAGAAAATATTTACATATATATATATATATATATATATATATATATATATATATATATATATTTACAAATATAAAATTAAAATCCATTATGATGATAGAAAGCTCGTTAATGAACGTTAATGTGGTCTCGCTTTTATATATATATATGACATAATAAAATTGCAATATTCTTCTTATAATTAATCGTGCGCGTTCGTTAATAAAATATTTGTGATGAAATTGATTTTTGATAATTAATTGAATGAAATACTTGTCAATGTAAACAGAATGAAAGGCGCTCGTTTAATTTGCCGAGTAAATGTATTTATTTCACTATGAATGTGTAAGTATTCTATATTTTCTTTTATAGTTTGTGCAAACTATGAAAAAGGCACGAAAGCTGCTAAGAAACAAATTGTCACGTTATTTTTCTTTTAATCGGCTTTAACCATCATTGGGACTTCTAATAGCCCATTAAGCTACGCAGCCCCAGCGCTTAATGAAAATTTTTGTTCACCCAGGATTATAAAGTCGACTGTGATCCAGATGCACGTTGAAACTGGCATTTTCCCCATTTGTTTATTAGCATTTGTTTCCATTTGTTTCCATTTGTTTCCATTTGTTTCCATTTGTTTCCTCATATCGCGTCCAATACATTGCAGTTTGTATACAAACACTATCTGACCCACAATTTATCGCTTCGAAATCATTAGACTCTTATACGTCCAATGACGCATTATATTATTCCGCGTGTAAAATAGCGTAAAATTTTATATTTACCTATCAATATTAACGAGCTCGCCGTAATACATCTATTATTAGCTTGAAAATACTTCATTAGCTTGTCATAATAATTAGTTTTTTTTTTTTTTTTTACTTCAACTACTAGAGCACGTGTAGTAAGGCAGATTGTCGGACTTATAAAATAAGTTCTGCCAGAATATCACTTGATAATCATAAATGCTGCGAATGACGGCCCGCCACTCGGACATAACTTTCCAAAATATACAATTATTCCCGGCATTATTATTATTAATCGAAGTTATAGTTAAAGTATTAGGAAACTAAGTATTTAATTATTTAACATTTACAAAGTCGCCACGTAAAAGCGCTCATACGCGATCTCAAATTATCGGCGATCCAAGTTGCTCGGCGCTAATCGACGAAAGTCCGCATAACCCGAGAGAAAAAGAACGCTTATTACGACTTTGTGCGCATGTTGCTTTGCGAGCACCGAGCGAAGATCGCTGATGTATGTTTGTAGCAGGACACGTCGTGCCAAGCGGTCCACCAGGCCTCCTTCATTTCCAACGGCTCGACGGAGCTCATCGGCGACGACGTGGACGCGAGCGGTGGCCGAGTGAGACAGGCGATCGAGCACATACAGAACAAAATCGCTAAGACGCGCGAGCTTATAAGGACGGAACAGACGACCAGGGACGGTAAGTCATCAACCACCACGAGTCGCTAGATCAATTGGTGTGTGAATGTGTGTGTGTGTGGGGGGGGGGTAGACTCGGATTGTAGGGAGCAGCGAGGATTTGGGGAAAGGACGATACGTGAATCAGATCCTCTTGTCCTTGAATTCGGCTCCGCCGGTTGTAACGAGAATTGATCAGTGCCTCCTATTAGATAAGGGCTTAGGCTTCGATTGTAGGGCTTTGAAGTGGGTGGGTGGGAGGGAGGGAGGGAGGGAGGCGAACACAGAGATAAATGTTAAAATCCACGTAGTCGCGAGTTTAATCTAGCAGGGCACGACGATGCATCGAGAGGGCAAAAGACTTTTATTCTATTTCGCGATTTAATTCAGTAGTTAATCGCATTATTAACGAGTATTATTACTTTGGTTTATATTAAATTATCCTTACGTTGTCTTACATTGGGAGCAAATCCAATTTTCCACGATACTTGGCTAATAATTTCACTCACATTTTCTTAATAAAATTAACGATGTAAAATTGTCGATTATTAAATGAATTTTCACATTGTGCTTATTAGAATGGTATATTAAAAAGGCTGTTTTCCGATCTGCGAAAGACATATTTTCCGAATAATAAGAAAACTAGAGAGAAATATAGGCGATAAAATTAGTACGGAGCTTCATAAATTATCGGTTCGATGCTCGGATTTCATTATTCATCGAGCATGGATTAAAAATAGATTGGTATAGCAACGAATGGAAATATTCATTGAAAATGTTTAGGGCAAATTATTTGATTTTCAATGCGCGTTTAACTTTCATTGTATTATTCGCAATTGCAAATAATTATCTCATAATAGTTGAATTAATTCTTAAAAAAAAAAAAAAAAAAAAAAAAAAAACTTTAAAAGAAGATTTTTAAAACACTTTAGTTGGTATTTTGTATTAAGACAAAAGAAACAAAAAAAAAACAACAAAAAAAATAAAAAAAACCAAATCAACAAACCTAAAGAACAAAAAAAATTAACAAAATTATTGGCAATTATCGATTGATGAATTTATCAATAGAACTAACGTACGAACGAACGTTCGTTATTTTTTAATTGCGTTTTCAAAGAATGTAATCACGAGTTGTCGTAATTAATATATAAATAAACGTAATGTTTACGGCTAGTAAGAATTTTGTAGAATTTTCGCTCCAGTAGAGCAAACTTTTGCCGCTCTCTATTCGTAGCTAAAATCATCGAGTATTAGTAGAATATTATTATACTTTTCTTATAAAGTTTTCATAAATTTCTTATAAATCGATTGACGACTCTACGCACATAATATTTACATTTCACTTGTATTTTCTCATAAGATAATGCTCAAATATCTATTATAAATCCCTAGAATTTACAGAGTAGTATGCTTTGTAAATATTGTTCTTGAAATTTTGAATAACGAATATTCGTTGTATTGAACGAAGGCAAATAAAAAATTGATGCCAAATAATTTTAAACTAATTATCACGAGCTAATTTGTCAAATTGTTGAAGCATCGTGTTTAAAAAGTGCGCTCGTTAAAAACGAAGTTTATCTGTAATAAAACCAAGCCAAGTGTCTCCAAGTGATACGCGAGAAGTTCGATCGCGAAAAGTTTAATCGAAGCCGACCCGCCGTACGTCTCATAAGCACCCATTGAAGAGAGATAATGCATTTTCAGAGAATGTGAACGAATATTTGAAGCTTGCGGCCAACGCCGACAAGCAGCAGCGTACGCGCATTAAAACGGTCTTCGAGAAGAAGAACCAGAAGTCAGCGCACAATATTCTACAGTTGCAGAAAAAGCTCGACAGTTACACGAAAAAGCTCAGGAACTACGAGATGAATGGCGCACAAGTGGCCCATCGACAGCCTCGCGAAGTTCTTCGTGATATGGGACAGGGATTGAAGTACGTTCGAGTGCCCGCAAGAGATGTCGAGTGTATTTTGGGTTTTTGCATGAAATGTTACTACCCCCCCCCCCCCCCCCCCCCCCCCCCCCCCCCCCCCCCCCCCACCCCCCCCC